AAAGAACTTGAAGAGAGAAAAAAAGCACTTTGAAGTGCTTAAGGCTTAAAAGAGAGTTCACCCATATCAGACAGAAAAACCCTGAACTTTTAGCATGAGTGAAGCAGGCACACATTACAGTGGAGAGCATACTGTTCATTCATAACAACGTTGTGACTTGAGTTTACACAGCCATCTTCATTTTGATTGCGGGATATGGGTTGTAGTCGTAGATCTCAAAGTCCTCCGTGCGGAAATCATCGATTTTCTCCACTTTTCTCAGGATCCTCAGTTTGGGGAATGGTCGGATCTCTCGCTGAAGCTGCACATGAAACACAAACAAACGTGCAAGTTTGAAATTTAAAAAAGCAATGAGACATGCAAGAAGCATATTTAACTAACCCACCTGCTCTTTGAGAGGTTCAGTATGGTTGAGGTAAACATGAGCATCTCCCAGGGTGTGAACAAAGTCGCCCGGCTGAATGGACAGATTAAAAAAATATATATCAGGTGAGGCGATAGAGAGGGACACTGCTGGACCAAACAGGTATCAAATATGACAATAATGCACTGGCCATACCTTGAGTCCTGTAATGTGTGCAATCATGTAGGTAAGAAGTGAATAGCTGGCGATGTTGAAAGGCACCCCTAATCCCATATCAGCTGAGCGCTGGTACAGCTGACACGACAGCTCGCCATCACACACGTAGAACTGGCAGAGTGCATGGCAGGGGGGCAGCGCCATCCTAGGAAGGTCTGCAACACCACAAGACACGACAAAGATGTACCTTTTGTATAATTCTTCACCAAATGCGACTTAAAGCAAAAGGTCTCCGTTGGCCTCACCTTTGGGGTTCCAGGCACACATGATGATGCGCCGGTCCTCTGGATTCGTTTTGATGGTGTCAATGACTTTCTGCAGCTGGTCAACACCTTGTCCTGTGTAATCTGTCCAAAGATGAAACCAGGAAAAACATGAAAACTTGACATCTCTACAAACGATTTTCATTTACAGCAGCATCTCCATATAAGATAACACCTGTAAAAACCCACAGCCTGCTGTATGTTTTACAGAATTTCTGTGCATCTTTATGAAATATTCAGAATGACTAAATAAAGGGTGGCCCTCAAATACCTTCGAGTGAACAAATTAACTATAAAGTCCAAAGGTGGATGTTTCCTCATGCACTTCCAGTTATATGTAGTAATTCAGACAGTTACTTGTATAGCTGCCGCACCAACCACAAACAAACCTGCATTGCTTTTCTTCTACTGGGATAAAAATATGGACAAATAAAGGAAAAATTATATGCATGGCTACAGTTTGGTGAGCAGATCTGATCCCGACAAATGACTTCACAGCTTCATTCAACTGGGTGAAAACTCTACCTGCATGCATGTCTGTGTACTCTGCACCAAAGTGCCTCCACTGGAAACCATACACAGGTCCTAGGTCACCCTCCTCTCTGTCAGTGAACCCAAGGTTGTCCAGGAAGTCCCGAGACCCGTTGGCATCCCAGATCTTCACTCCTTTTTCTGACAGCTCCTTGGAATTTGTTGATCCCTGTGACAGATTGCAAAAAATATCAGATCTAATTTATACGCTGAGAAGATTTTCATTGATTTGTGTTTCTTTTGTTTTCCTGCCAGGCTCACCCTGATGAACCACAGCAGCTCCTCAAGGATCCCTCTCCAGAACACTCTCTTTGTTGTCAACAGGGGAAACTGGTCTGTGAAAGATTGCAAAAAAACACGTTAAGTGAGGTTGCTGAGGAAGTAGGAAGCAGCTGTCATTTGCAGATGGGTGTTTATGCAACGACTACCTTTATTTTATATTTTAATGTTATGCCACATTATACTTGTAAGTCAATTACAGTGGTTAGCAGACTAAAAGGTGCAGATGACTTTGTTTTAGGAAGACTTTTTCATATTACTTCATGCAGTCCTGTTTTCAGTACTTTTAACACACAGATACAATGCCATGCTAGCTGTAAACTGTACCTCTCAGGCTGTATCTGACTTGAGCGCCGAACAGGGACAGGACTCCAGTGTTGGTTCGGTCCCCCTTTAAGCGGCCGTTCTCCAAGATGTGCTCCACCAGACTCAGATATCCTTGTTCATCACAGAAAAATCCAGAGTTTTTCTGCTTGTTGGCCGCCGCCGTCAGCCGCTGCTTTTCCTCTTTCTCACAGCTGTCCTGCTTCGGCAGCTCCCCGGCGTGTATTTCAGAAGTTGCGGGCATTTTTGTAAATAAACTGTTTCAGTGTTTCCAGCCTCAGAATCAACTGAAGAACTCCCGCTCGTCTTTTGCATTTTGTTGCGCTCCCAGTCAAACTCCTTCTCTGATTGGCTGTTCTGGCTACAGCGATAGAACAGCCAATCATAGAAGGATAAGATTTTTCTTATATGGACCTCTTCCGCATGTGCAACAAAGCAAGTTTTCACGTGGGCAAAACACCACTACGCCCCTTTGCCGCCAAATTAGTGAGTCGATCACGTGATTGAAAACTAGGAATTGATAAGAGAAATGCATACGAACAAAAGTCACCCCTTCACTGTTCTTACAGATTTACGAGATGCAAACCACGGTTGTTGTACCGAATAAACATAAAAAAGCGTCGTAAAAAACGCCTTTTGCTAGCTGGCACGAAAACTAGAGTTATATATATATAAAATTCACAAAATTATTTAAAAATGTAAACAAAACATACTATGAATTACGATTCAAAAACGAAATTCAACAGTACTCGTGACATAAATAACAAACAAAATAGAGGTTGAGGAGTGTACACCGTTTTATTGCGTAGACGTTTAAAAATCTAAGCATCAAAATACATGAATAAGAACAACATAAACTGTGCATATGAAGGTTTAGAGGTCTATGCGGTGCATTTTCAAGTAATATACAGATCAGCTTAATTGCACGAGATTAGTGCACGAGAAAACCTGAATGTCCTGGACTCTTCACTCTGCATAAAGAAACTGTTCCCATGGTGGTAAGATCACATTACTCCATTCCTGTGCAGAAAAGAACTATTAAGTTTTACATTATGTAAGTGTACAGACCATTAAAAAAACAAAAAATATAAATAATACAATTAGAGATTGATTTCATGTGGATCCAATTAATCTTTTTTAACAAGTCAATAAACAGAGGAATGTATGATTGTTTTTCTAGTCACATTATCATCTTGGATTGCAACATACTATCCAATCTGTAGCGATCGCAGTGTAAAGCGCTTTCAAATGATCGTAGTTCATCTGGGTTAAATTCAATTTGGAACTCTGCCAGGTGATGCTGGTAGCCAAATACTGCACTAAGGGACCACAATCGTGGGATCAATACCTTTTATCTGCCGTTTATATAGTGTCAGAGCCTCTTGAGCAACATTTTGGATGAAAGCAGGGTCATCCACCTCCAGATCTGCTGGGACCAGTATTGTTACTGGGGCTGAATCCAATACGGAGACAGTGACACTGCTGTCTGCTCTAGGCTTGTTATTCTTTATCTGTTGCTGTGGACTCACCTAAAAGATGAGAAGAGATGAAAATGAAAGTAGCCGTCTGGCTCAAAATTGCAACCTTGGCTTGTTGCAACCTTAATAAAAGCTTCCCAATTTATACAGCAAAGATAATGTCTACAGATGCAGCATCACTAGCCACATACCAATATCACACTGAAGATGCTGTGTGGGTCCACTGTGCTGTTGGACAGCTGGCTGACCCAGCCATACTTGTCATGCATGCTGCTGAGCCACATCTGAGTGTCTGCTGTGTGTCTGTGGACCAGCTGCAGCCTGCCGTCATACTGCTGACGGGAGGCGTTCAGCAGCATGTACATCTCTTCCATCTCAGAGTGCAACTGCTGCACGCTGGGGCATGCTGTACGAGGAGGCAGAAATCCAGATGTTCATGTTGAACTAAAGGACATGTTGAACTAAAGGACTCCTGATGAAATAATTTTAAGCATCTATCTAAAAAGTGTTGAAACCATTTTTTAAAATCCTCTCAGTCAAGAAAAAATTAATCAACAACTATTTTAACAACGAATAAACCATTTAAGTAAAGCCTCAAAAATGCCCTAAACAAGTTGATTCCCATTTCTCAGATGTGAATGCTCTGTTTTTATGTCTGCTAAATCATTTTAATTTGACCATATTGTTGGGTTTGGACAGTTTTTCAGACCCAACAAGCTATGTGGCATTAAGTCTCTAGGAAATTGTGACAGACATTTTTTGTTTTCCATAGTTTTCCTTCTTTTTAACGTCAAATAAAACCTGTCTGTGTGGGAAGAGCGGCAAAATAAATCTGGATTTACCCTTTAACAGATAATCCCTGCATGTCTCACACAGGTCTTGAAGCTTCCAGCACTCTGATGCTTGTCTGCGGAGTCTTCTGCACATATATGCGCTCTGCAGCGGTCCCATTCCAGAAAACAAGCCTGTATCTTTGTAGGTGGACATGAATTATGTTACACTCAAACAACCATTGTCTACAAACACACACATTTAAGAGTGCAGCGTTGTGCATCAGATACCTCGACTTGATTGCTGAACGTACTCTTCAGCTTCTTTTATTTCCTCAAACAAATCAGCCACTGGGGCACTGAAGCCTTCCAGCACGCTCTTCCCAAAGTCAAGCACTGAGTGAAGAACGTGCTCCAAACCCACCGACCCAAGGAAGCCAGAGCTTGACCCTCTGGTCGAAAGCGTGCTGGACTGGAGATCAGTGGCGAAGGTTTCTAGAAAGGCGTGACCAAACACGGGTTGCATCTTCTTGGCCAGACCAATGCTCTGGTTGTACAAAAGGCTGATGTTTGACAACAGGTCGCTGAACGATGCTTCAGCCTGCAGCAGCTCCATATTGGATTTGTCCTCTGTGACCTGCTTCTCAGCTGCGACATTTTCACCTGAATTCTCCTGATTTTTATTGTGGACCTGCTCAGCATCTTCAAACTTAGTGGCCATTTTCCTGAAAAACTCCTCTACCTGAAGGGAGGGAGAGAGATTCACAGAGACATGTTTGCACCTTAAACATCAGTCCTAAAGAGATTCCTTTTGTTGGAATGTGCTGAAGTCAAACCTTGAACGAGAAAGAGGCGAAGCCGCGCCGACACGTAGATGTATAGAAGGCCTTACAAGAATCTTCCAAACATGGTCGGCACTCCCCAAAGGAAGATTTGGTTAAATCTTGACATTGTTGTTCGGCTTCCTCGACTTTTTGCTGTGTTTCTTTGGCCAGCTGCATCACCCCCTAAAACCCAACCCAAAAAACAGAAAACTCTGTCACAGATACATTCCCTTTTAATAAACCACAGAGAATAACATGAAGTCTGAGGCTCTGGCACTCTGCCCTGCCCAGCGTTCTGAAAACACTCAGAAAATATAATAATCTACAGACAGTTAATTTATCCCGACTGTAGTAAAACTACACCCCAGACTCACTTAACCAGCTGCACTCCCACACTCATTTTTCACTGTCTGCTTTGAGGTCTCTCCATGTGACTTTGTCTTTGTGAAGCAGAAAATATGTGGTGGGTTTTAGAAAAATGCACAAGGACTGGCATGAAACCGTTTAAACACGATTTTAATTGCGGGTACATCTTAACCAGCCACAAATGCTGTGCAGGATTTTTGAAACTGGACGATCAGCACAGTGCAAAACAAACAGAATTCACCTTCTTCTTATCACTGCTGTGCCTCAGTGCATCCATCAGGTGCCTGTGCTTCTCTTCTTTCTTCTCCATCATTTCCTTCACCTGCTTCACTCCGAGCAAAGTTCCCTTTAGTTCCTCATCAACATACTGCTCTCCAGCTGCGGAAAGCCCTGCACACACCCGTGGAACACACAATACTTTAAGCTCTGCAACACTAATCACTTGTTTTTCGCTTTTCTTTTCCGTCAGCGAAGGCCTTACTTTTCAGTGTTTCCTCGCTGATCGGAGGAGAGTCGGCGGCACAGAGCGTGACTTCAGCAATGAAGAGAATCTGAGCAAGAAACCTCCACATCCTGCCTCAAGCTTCAGAAAAGGAGAAGATTTTTTTTTTCTAGCAAAAAGAAACAACGACCACATGGTGGCGCCAGCTCACAAGCAAATTTATATATAATATTTACAGTATGAAGGGGAGTGGATAAAATGTCAGTTCATTAGTATCCAATATGAAATCAACGTCAAACCAATTAACATGATGAGCTGAACAGATCCACTAAAGCAGCTGTCAGTTAATCTTTTTGGATTTGTTCATTAGTATCACATTAGGAAATATGATGGCTTACTACCATAAAATGCAGATGAATTATACATAAAGGTGAATATCCAAAAAAATGTACACAACAAAACCTCAAATTACTACACATTTTTTTTCTTAAATAAGCTGAAAGCAACAGTAAGTAAATAGTAAATAACAGGAAACAACCATAATTGTGTGTTTTTGCTCTGAATGCTGCATATTTATTTAGTTTATGGCGTCTTATCAATGCAATCTAGTTTAAAAAAAAACAACAGCTGTATTGCAAGTCTCCCCCAAGATCTCACCAAGCCTGCTGTTGCACTGCAACTGTGCCATTCTGTGCAAAACACAAACCAAAGAAATGTAGAACAAGCTTTTACCTTGAGAGCTCTGAAAATATCCAACTCCCGAAAAAAAAAGCAGCAGCTTGTGCTTATGGAAGGATGAGACTGACACAGTCTGGTTCCTCCGAGGATTGTTCTATTTTTACGGATCTACTCAGCAGTACAGATCCTATTAGTGCGTTTGCATTATTGGTTATTAAGCCTTATGCGAGCTACATACCTGCAGATCAACTTTAATGCTCTGTAAATATAACATGCTCAGTTGTTTGTCTGTCTCACGCACCTAATGGTCTCTAACATAGTCCAGAGCCCTCCTTAGGTAAAACTTTATGCTTTAATCTCTATCAGACTGACAGTAAGCCTGAGCCCCCTGCAGAGAATTGGCACACACACTGGCATGGTCTCAATCATGGGTTAAGCTCTGCACTGCAGGCCACAACAGGAGCAGGAGGACTGCACGTGCACACGTGCACACTATACACAAAACAGGGTAACTGAAAAGAGGAAATACGGCTGCTCTTAGTTTAAGCTTTAACAACAAACTGTGTAGACTTTCAGTTTATGTTGCTTGTTTTCCGTTTTTCTACCATTCCAGGCAGCCATTCATTTCTGTAGGGTATCAAAAAAAATCAGTAGAAGACAGCTGTGTAATCCAGTCCAGGGAACACTAAATATGGTTTACATCGATAAGAACCCTGACTCTATAATGTGCACTGTCATTTCAACTTCACGTAATACAGCTGTATGCCTTGTGATATGGTTACCTGTGCTGTAAATGTACTAGCTGGTGAAAAACAGCCAAAAGAAACTGCATGTAATCCTTTAGGCTCTTGTGTCTTACTGAAACCCATCTGTCATCACGAGTAACCAGAACAGCTATAAATCTTTCTGGCACTCTGTCTGAAACTCTTCTGGTTATGGAGAATGATATTGTGACTGTATGCATGTATCACTTAGTAATTAACCATCTACCTTTACATACAACATTTTTATACTTAGTTTTCCTCATTGAAACATCAGTATTTGTGCATTTCTCCACTTACATATTCAGACTTTTCCTTTAGTTCGTTACCAATCTGTCTTCCATCCACACAGAGAAAACTGGAAACTATTGGACTGAACCTGGAAGTCATCGTACTTAAAAATCGTGTGTCATAAAACCGAAAGCTTGGTACAAAAACTGGACTGTGTAGGAACCCAGAGCAGAGACAGCAGAACGTTTTACGATGTTTATTGGTTAAACTCAAAATATGATAAGGACAGAGGCAATAAAACACAGGACTTGACGTGGCGAGGCCTAGTTTACGTGGCTAGCTTGACATGGATTGAGAGGGGGGAAATGATGTACACTGGAACGTAGCAGTTTAGCAGTCACACCGAGGAGAGAGGACAACTGAATTAGGGAGATAGTGGAGAGGAGCTCTGTAGATCAGGGGTGGGCAATTCCAGGCCCCGAGGGCCAGTGTCCTGCAGGTTTTAGATCTCATCTTGGGTCAACACACCTGAATCACAAGATTAGTTCATTACCAAGCCTCTGGAGAACTGCAGGAGCTAATTTAGCCATTTAAATCAGCTGTGTTGGTTCAAGGACACATCTAAAACCTGCAGGGACACCGGCCCTCGAGGCCTGGAGTTGCCCACCCCTGCTGTAGATGGTTAGTATGTTTTACAACTTTTCTTACTTGCAGGTGGAGTGAGTAAGCAATGAGGGAGGGGTGATGTGAATCCAGAGTGAGCTGGATGGTGTGGGATGGCTGACCTGAGATCTGAAGGTTTCTGATGATGTGCAATAGCGGAAGGGCAGGCAGGTGAGGCAGAGAATGATTTCAAAGATTGGGTAAGGTATCCTGAGTCTAAAAGAGGAGCTTAAGCTTGAGGAACTGTAGCACAAGAAAACAAGGTTAGCAGAGTAAACCACAAGGAGAGCCTGAACCATGTAAGCTGACTACCAACATAAGTTGGTGATGAACTGGCGGTGAATAAACGTCAGCGTGAGGCCTAAATCACTCTGGCTTGATTGCCTGCAATCAGCTCCAGGTGTGTAGAACTGCAGAGGAGAAGATGGCCCTGCCCAGGGGCGATACCAGGTAGACTCAGGATCCTGATGGAAAATTCCAGCCGCACACCTGGAGCTGTATTAAAGACACTATTTTTTAATTAATCTTAAAAACTTTAACTGAAAACTTTACTACCAGGAGGCAGTGTTGATCTAATGAGTTTGTTTAAATTTTTCCAGATGTTTGCAGCTGCTTCTTTTTTTTTTAAGTATATATATTTATTTAAGATGCTTTGTAATTTGCAGGCTGCCCTTCTAAATAAAAATGTTTAATCATTTACTGGTTGGATAAAGGTTACATTGACTCACTGCCCCCTCTTGTGGTACAATGTAGTATTACATAAAAGTACAGCCCAGCCCTCTTTCACCATATTTTTATATCTCTTTTTCAGGCACAAAGTCATAGTGGTTGCATTTTAAAATCCTGTTGGTAAGTTTAGCTGTGGAAGATTTAAGACTATTTTTAAAAACAGGATTTTACAGTAAGAATTAGTCATTTTTTAGAGCTTGTCACTGCTGCCCCCAAGTGATCATAATTTTCTTTCTTTTTTTAGGGCATGAACGGTTATGTTAAGGTACAGTTTTAATAAACTAAAAAGTTATTAAACTATCTCAGCAGTCTATCGAAAAGTACTTTCTCTAGTCTGCCACCAGTGAATCTCTCCTGCAGCAATTGAATGATTTGAGTTGCCATTTTTCTAATCACTACATGGCGGTACTGTGGCAAATGTGGAATTCCTGTATGCTTTCTAAATCTCCTGCTAATCTGAACCCACTGCAGAAAGCCTTGACCCAGCAAATGAGGTCCCAACCCCTGAATAAGGACCAGCAGGAGTTTGGCAGTAAGCTACCTGACCCTCAGCTGCTTTTTATTAGCTCACCACGATCTCTCTCTGCGCCCCAATACTAGCCTGCTGCTCCAATCATAGTTGACAGTAAAATAACAGTTTTGAAGCCTTTAGTAAAACAAGTAATTAGTTGCTTTATCATCTCAACTTGGTCTGAAGTATGTTATGTGGCAGACTGGGTCAAACTCAAGCTATTAGTGCTGAGCCAGAGTTAGAAGGCTGTGTTATCCAAAGAAAGAAGAACAAACAGATCTGAGCTGGACGTGTGTGCCGCTTTCCTTCCAAGCCCAGAGGATTCCAGTGCTGACACACTTGATGTTGTCTGCATCCATTTCTGGAAAATTTACTGGCATGAAGTGAGCGAGTGTAAAAATTAGCATCATGTAACCCAGTGACACTAACCTGGACTGTGAAGACGCAAGAGTGGGCCTGTCTCATTTCTTTGATGTTCCTTGTTAGTCTGGGAGGATGCAGCTGGAGCTCTGTGTTTGATCAGTGATCTGAAGACTGTGGATACAGGAAGTGTCCAGGAATTATCACAACACCTGGAAGAGTTAAAGAAAAATGGCCCCCAGTGAACCTTACAGTCTAATATGGATAAACAGCAGACACTTCCCAGCAAACTAAGTTATTTCTAGAGGAAGTGCAACCATCTATATAGCCATGTTGTCATGAGGATGTTATTGTGCTTTATCAAACAGAGCTCATTTAGACATCGTGGCAATAAAAATGCATAGTTATAGTTTTTCACTAATTTATGCATGCAGCTGGATCATGCAAACTTTTTTTTTATACCTTTGAAGTACAGCTCTCACGCAGCCATAAGACTTTTTCTTGAATCTATAAGTTTTTGATTTTAGTTTTTGTATGCCTGCTATTTTTTTCCTGCAGGATTCTCTCCTGTTCTGTGGAAGCAATGGAAAATACTCTGCAGTGTTTTGCAGGATTGTGGGGCTGCCGTGATAAATCAGATGATAACACATCACCAAACAGCATGTTTAATCTATTACCGCAGGGAGGCTGATATTAAAATGATTTTTAAATCCTTGAAGGACATGAGATATGAGCCTAAATATGCAAAACAGAAACTGGGCAGAAATGTCGCGGTGCTCCCCTCCACCTTCTCCAACCTTTGAAATTATCTCTAATGGGTACCAGATTTTTACCCGGGGGACGAGATTGCTATCAACCCCCTGTAACCTAATCTCATCTCCGGCTGGATTACTGCAGCGTCGGGCGACGTCTCGCGGTCTGTAGTGCTGAAAGCAGTCCGCACCTCCTCTGTCCCCGCAGGAGGAGGCTCAGCAGGAGGGCCGGGGACCGTAACTGCTTTGAAAGGCTGTGCAGCACAGATGTAGTAACAAGTTTGGTTGTCAAGTTATGTATGAAAGTTATGCAGAAATTGAGTCCAGTGCCGGAAATGAAGTATCTTAGCTTTCACAATAAAAGCGTGCCTAAATTAAATTTAGATACCTTAAAATCACTTAAAAAGTCTAAAAGAGAGGACAGAAAATGTCATCTATATGTTGTTACAAATGACCAATAGATTAGTTTTTCCCCCTAAATGTGTCAAAGCAAAGATTTTGAGCTCGACACAGAAGTTGTTTTCTGATGTCTTGAAACCAAGAACTGTGCAAAAGACCCGAGGCATCCTTCATCTTATCTTATCTTTATATTTTACTAGGAAAATATGTGCAGTCACTTGTTGAAAAATATATACACACATGGAAATACAGTATATAAGGCAAAAACACAGCTTGTGCAAAAAGGTGAAAAGTCAATATTTAGTGTGATAATATATATATTTTTTATAAACACAGCCTGAACTCTCTTAGGCAGGGCTTCTTGTAATTTCTTTAAGCAGGCTTCAGGAAAATGTTGGCTACCTTTTGTTCTGTTCCCGGTTAGGATGATCTGACACTGCTTCAATAATGTTGAGGTTCGAGCTGTAGGAAAGCCAGTGCATGGCAGAGAGTGTTCAATTGTGTGTGTTTTTAATTCAGATATGCTTTTATTGCATCAGCAGTTTGTTTGGAACGAGTGCCATGCGAAATCCTATCCTGTAGATAGAATTTAGGGCTACCATTTGACAAGAGGTGCCAGGTTTTCAGTAATTTCTTTTGATGATTTGCATTGTTATATTTGATAAACTGAGATATGTTTGGTATTTTTTTCATAGAAAGAAGAAATGGGAACAAATTATGTGAAAGGCATGTTGAAAAAGTTCATCTTCCTGAAATAGATTGTATTTTCTGTGGTTTAAGGGGT